GATTTATGTTTCTCATACACATCCGTAGTTTTTTATCCTCCGAATGCACCTACGTGTATCTTCGATGTCCATTTATTAGTTGGAACCTTAGTTTAAAGTATGGTGGCACTTATTGTGGCTTATGCCGTGTGTTATGTCACGAATCTAGATTTTGATTTTTCAAATTTTAATCTTATTTGTAGCTACATATACTTATCCTCAAATTGAGTTGAAACTTGTGCTTATTATATCTTTTATTAACATATTTTATTGAAAACAAGGGTTTTATATAGTTCTATGATGGCATAAAATGGTCATTTCAATTAGAGATCCATCACGTAGTTTAAGATCAGTAGTAGAGATTGAAGTGAGATCTATAACATGGGTGCTAACCATAAGAATATATTAATATATAAGCCAAATAATCACTGTTACTACAAATAAATCTCAGAGACACAATAAGATGCAAATTTTAATATTAGAATTGGGTAACTTACACAAACACAAACACACAATTAGATGCAAATTTTAATGGGTTACATAGATTATCTATTATAATGGGGAGGGGGGCTGCGTAGTTAGATGCAAACTTAGGAGTATTTTATATTATAATTTAGATATATTTCCTTGGGTTACTTTGAAGTATATAATTATTTTTTAGAACAAAATATATCAGTCATGATTATTAGAGTCTACTACAATTATGGCCATTACTATCAATCATGATTAGAGTTCATCACAATTATGGCTAGACCTTTCTAATTCTTGTGAGAATTCCTAGGTTTAGTTTGTTTTTTTTCCAGCATCATGATAATTAACGTGGAAGCTTTGTTAGGGACCCCTAGTTTGAACTCATTGGGTTTATTTTCTTCTAACACAATACTCCATATGTATTTAGTTGAAACTAAGCTTAAGTTAAGCTATTATTGCATCTATTTCAGTGACATCATGAATCTATGAGCCTATTTAGAGATCCACCAAACTACTCAAATTTCAAAGTTAAACTTTAGTCAGGTTAAAGTTCTCGCAGCTAAACTTTAGTTGTGGTGTTTGGATCCTCCAGCTAATACACTTAGCTAAACTTTAGCTGGGTTTAGCTGAGTTGAAATAGCTAAACTCAGCTAAATTTTAGCTGAGTCATTTGAATCCCTAGCAGCTAAATTTAGCCAAATGCAAACAGGCCCTATGTTTGGCTTTCAAAGTTCGATCTTACTATCTCCGTTGCATCTTTTTTATCCATATGTTAAATAGAAACTATAGTACTTATTGTAATTTATATTTTATTCATTCAAAATCCCATGTTTTATTTTATTTTAAAAATACTAGACTACACTTCTAGTTACTACAATAACACAACAATTGTTTCGACCTATACCAGTAGCACACGTGTGTTTCACGTGGACTTTAGATACAAGAGCCTACTCGTAGTAACTGTACCACGAATTTGCTGTGAAATGTGGCCCTGCTACGTCGATACGATTTAATTATAAAATCTGAATTTGGTTGGTATTTTCGAAAATCTGGCGCGGTGAACGCGCGCCTCTCTGTGTGTTTATACTTTATCCCCCAAAAAAAAAAAATGAACATCTCATTCTCGAGAAGCCAAGCAATTCTTACCTTGATCAAATATAAAAAAACACTAATAATTATAATGCCGATAAATACCACTATTAATTTATTATGGAATGTAATTTTATAACAGACCTATTTAAATATAGAAATGTTGATATTATTTTCCACAAATTTGATTAAATTTAAAATTGTCTGACTTATATTTTCATTGTTATTGAACGGAGGGAAATACTGTAGGATTGTTCTGGTGATTTTGGCTCTGTTTGGTTGCCATGGGATTCTAAGAATCCGGATAAAAGAAAATCTTAGAATCCTAGAATCCCATCTAAACGGGTTAGGATTCTACGGGATTTTAACACACATGCACATAATCAAGAAACTTTAGAGATTATTTTTATTCAGAATCCTGATTTTAAAATCTCATCAAAACGGGACCTTTATCAGTTTGACTAAACGCATATGGTACTCGTAGTAAGTGTTGGCTATAGCCAGGCTGCTCGGCGTGGGCAGTGAGTCAGAGTAGTAAAAGCGATCTCTAACCCTACCTCTCGCTGCGCTTGTCCCCCCTCCACACATTTTGGTGCTCTAGAGTTGTTTTACAAGATACTCCATCTTTCCATGAAAGAATGCAATTATGGAAACCGTGTCGGTCAAACTAACTCAAGTTTGACTAAGTTTATAGTAAATAATATTAACATTTATTTCTCTAAATAAATTTATTATGAAAATATATTCTATAACTAATCTAATAGTATTTATTTTGTCTCATGGGTGTTAGTACTTTTTCATATAATTTTAGTAAAAGTTTAAACTCTTTCTTTGACTTCTCGAAATGCGAGAATTGCATTCTTTTGTAGACGGAAGGAGTATGTCGAAAATACGAATGAAAAGATAATATATGAAGCACTTACAAGTTGGTGTAAAAAGAAGTATTGCTCACTCCACTCGGCCCCCGGCCGTGGAAAGGAATCTTACCTAATCTAGCAAATGCAACGTAAGTTTTTTCCTGACTTGTTGTAGCATGCATTGTGGATGGTTGAGATTTGAGAGCCCTCCAGCTTCGTTTTCATCTTTCTTTCTTTGCGCCTGTGTTTTTTCAGGCCTGCAGGCAACCGGCGGTGGATTAGGCGGCCACAGCAGGCTTCGTCTGTTCCTACCTGTGCCAGAGCCACACTTTGATGCCACGGAGGTATCACTCGCACGCACGTTCGTTCTATCATTTTTTTTAAAAAAAACTTCTATTTATTCATATAAAATACATATTCCATTGTTGCGCTCTCTAGAGTTTCGCTAGATACCTTTGCTGATCTCTGCGGTGGTGCGACTGACTGACTGTCTCAGGCGGCGACGGAGGAGCATCAGCGCGGCGTGCCGGTGAAGGCGAGGTCGGCATGGTCACCGGCGGCGACGGCGGGGAGCGTGAGTCCGGAGCTGCGCGCGGTGCTCGGGGGGCCTGAACCCGCTGCACCACCACGGCGGCAGCCCCAGCAGGCGGCCGGAGCAGGACCGCACAGCGTCCCTTGACCCTGCCGGCCGGTCGGCCGGCATGGCTAGACTACCTGCGCCAGAGGCACCCGGGGCGTGTTTGGAAGCGTGTATGTGGCCGGCTTAGCCCTGAGGCCTGTCCCAGGCCAGCCAAGGCCCGGCACAAGGGGAGCAACCCCCTTGTTTGGTTTCCTGTACCAATGCGAACAGGCCCAAATAGAGATGGTGTTTGGTTTGCAGCTGGGAGCCCGGCTAAAGACCAACTGCCACCAACTGCCAAACTCAGATTGCGTTTGGCATGGAGCAGTGTCCGCCCAGCCCAAAGCAAGGAAGAAGAATGCAAATAGATCACAGCAATGAGCAGAGCTTCATTTGCATATGTAATTGAGTTCCAATACAATAACAGCAATTAAGATAAAATAAGTATGTCACTAATAGGTCTCAGACGTCATTACTACATCAGTTACAACCACTGCTAGCTCCAAGTAATTAGAAGCAAAAAAACAAAAGTAGGAATAGAGAACAGGAACCACCATCTGAAGTTTGCAAAGGAAATCAACAGATTTCATGAATGAATTAGAAAAAAGAACAACACATGGAGCTAACTAATTAACCTTACAAGGTTGTCATCATCAGCCTAATACCATCAGTTACATTGCCACAACTTCAACAAAAGACCAAATAGCAGCACCTAAGTGGAGCAGTTGTGCTGCCCAGTCTTGCTCACCTCCATCCATAGTCCAAACAGCAAAATAACAAGTGAGATGATTAACACATTCTTTCAATAACTAGCCTTACCATCAGCTGGTGGAATGCCTTGAGAACAAGCATCTTGAGGCAGATTAGGGGGAAGGGGAGCTGCTGCTCCCAGAGGTGCATTGAAATCTCTCACTGATGTATGAAAAGCTACAATAGCCTGCTCATAGCTACTATACTTCTTGTATATAGCATTTTTGACCCCAAGGACTTGTTTACTGCACTCATGCCAAGTCAGGTAAACCCCAGGATTCTTTCCCTTGAAAACCACATAGCAAGTGCCCATTTTTATGAAATGAAAGAGTGGTTTAGCCTCAGTAAAAATGAATGAATGAAACTTGCCATGACTGTAGAACTTGAAGATCTATGGTTTGTGATGAAACAAATCATTAATCTCAAATCCCTCACTGATGACCAGCATCATCTAGTTGAAAGCAAACATCACAGGCATTTTATAAAGAATTGGCCTCAGCTTATGAATCTAGTGGAGTAATTCATTGTTTAATTCATTGGTGGCTGCCATACAAATAAAAAGCCAATAGAACAGCAAGGTACAAAATGCAGGCAACAGAAGATTCAAACAGTCATGAAAACTCAAGGTCATGGCTGGCATGGAACCTATCTAGCCATCCATCCTCTGCCATCAGCCATGTGAAGTTGCTAGAGGATGGATTGTTTAGATAGATTTGATGACAATCATGAAAACCAGCAAGAAGCAATGGAAACCAACAGTAGCCACCTCATTTTTTGTTGACAGTTTGCGTCATAGGCCTTTTAAGTTTCCCAGAGTGCCCACCAATCCAAAGAAACAAAGTAAACAGTTCATAAGTAAGAGAATAAACAACAACTGGTCTCAAATAAAGTAGCCAACAGAGGCTACAAATAGTGCCTTACAACAACACGTTCTGCCCAACAGTTCAGGGCTCAAATGCCTACCAAGGTGCCTTCTAGCATATTTAGTTAGCCACCCTCCCAGTAAAGAACCCAAAAGGATAGGTGTGAGTCAGCCAAGTAAGTTACACAAAATACCTACAACAAAGTGTGCTCAACTGCAGTCAAAAGAAAAGAGAGTGGGTGAGGGAGGTGGAGGAACTATATATCTCAACAGTCAACCCCCTCATTGGCCATGCAGCCCAGCAGAAAGTGGAACTACATGTAGTAGTTCTTGGCTAGGTAGTTCCTAAGCCAAATGTCTCTATGGTTGTCACTCATGCCAACAAATCCCCTACCTTGGCCTTGTTGTCCAACAGGTAGGTGTAGGCAACTATCAGTGCCTCCTCAGTAAATCTAAGCATCTCCATCATAGCAAGGTAGAGGTTAGAATCAACATGGACTGGTCCAGACTCCCTAAGAGCATTGGCAACATTATTGACAGCATCAGACATGTTTGTCAACATAAGCATCTCTTCCTCACTAAAGTTGCCTCTCTTCCTCTTTCCACCCATAAATGAGGACAGCGGCTCTGTGGCCTTGCTGCCTTCTCTAGCCTCTGTTTGGGTCTTGGCAGTAGGGACATGGGGAAAGGGAGCACTCTCAGCCTTAGCAGCAACACTATCTGCCTGGTTCACCCCTAGGGATTCACTAGACCCTTGTGCAAACCTACCAGTGGCCATGCCATGGCCAAAGATGGACTTCATCTCTATGTAGAACTTTATAGGATAGTTTAAAATTCTACATCTTTAGGATGGTCCTGCAGTAGGGGGTACATTTTTAGGCAACTAATAGAAAGTTATTGGTGCATGGAGGAAAGAGGAAAGAAAACACAGATCTACCTTGTAGTGGCCTAGGTAGTGCTCGCCTCAAGCATGATAGCATTGACATCACTATCCCACAAGGCACCACTAAGATCTTTTAGGTTACAGATCCTAGCCCACTTCTGCCTCCATTTCCTCATATGGTTGTACACCTGAGTTGGGCTCACTACCTCCCCACTGTACTCCTTAAGTGTTTTGGCCACATAGTTAATATCTTTGTCCTTGAAGAACTTGTCAGGCCTACTACCATCACTAACAAGCTGAGCCATCCTTCTAAGACCAAAACCAGAGGTGTTGTTGTTTCACCTCATGGCCCTAGCAACCCAGCAGCAGCAACATGAGCTGCACCTGCAATAGCTGCACCAGCACTAGCCAAAGCAACTGGACCAATACTAGTTGTAGCACCAGCAGCACCAGCAGCTGCTGCAACAGTAGCACCAGCACCAGCTAGACCACCCACCACCAACCCATTCATTACATCAGCAGCTGCCACAAACCCCCCTAACCACCAAGCACATCCATAGGGAGTGAAGCCATCCTATATTGGTTTCCAAGTAAACAGATGTACAATAAGATACGAATGCTTAATAGGAAACAGCTAAGACATAATGTGTGACCATGGGACACACCCATGCAGCCTATCACCATATTCCTTGTATGGTACAAAGATGATGAATTGATGATGCAGATGAGTGGGAGGGCATTGGCTCAGCTCACAAGGTTGCTATGTCAATGCAAATGGCCATGAGGGTGAGCTAGAGCCGGCCATGGAGCTTAAATAGGAGCCCCCACGAAATAGAGTCGTTGGGCTCAAGGAGCAGCTAGCAGCGCACTGACCGGACGCGCTGGTCTGGGCGATCAGATGCACCCGGGCCAGCGTCCGATCAACGGATGCATGCCACACGTCCCTCCTTTGAATGAGCATCACTAGATCTCAATGGCTAGATACTCTCATGGTCATGTTAAGTCATGACCGGACGCACCCAAAGGGTGACAGGACGCACCGCCACTGTGTCAGATCAAGCGTGCGCGTGAGCCACCGACCCAACGAACTGACGCGCTGTTAGTATGACCAGACATGCCACAACGTGGAGTTCGGTCACTTCCAGTAAGGGTCTAGAGATGCATTTTTGCGATCGGACGCGTCCGCTTTGCCTTGACCTGACACTAGCCAGCGTCCAGTCCTTCTCCCGCTGCGTGCCAAAACCAAACGCCACCACGTCAGCACTGACCAGACATGGGAACAGTGTTCCCCACGTATCCGGTCCTCGTTTGCTACCAGCGTCCAGTCAACAGACCAAGACCGAGTCACTTCACCACCACTGACCGGGCGCACCGGTGCAGAGTCCGGTCCAGCGTCCGGTCGAGGGAAAACAACCCCTCGACTTCACCAACTTCTCCACCCTTGCTCAAATGTGCTAATCACCAAGTGTATCACCTTGTGCACGTGTGTTAGCATATTTTCACAAACATTTTAAGGGTGTTAGAACTCCACTAGATCTAAATGCATATGCAATGAGTTAGAACATCTAGTTGCACTTTGATAACTGCATTTCGATACGAGTTTCACCCCTCTTAATAGTACGGCTATCTATCCTAAATGTGATCACACCCACTAGGTGTCTTGATCACCAAAACAAAATGGCCCTATCAAATTCACCTTTGCCTTGAGCCCATTTTGTTTTTCTCGTTCTTCTTTTCCAAGTTCGAGCTCTTAATCATCTTCATGGACTCCACCATCACCATGATCTTCTCTATTTGCTCCATCACTTGGAATGTGCTACCTATTCATATTCACTAGAGTAATAGGTTAGCACTTAGGGTTTTATCAATTCACCAAAACTAGCTAGGCTAGGTCTAGGAGGCAAGCTTCGCTTGGATTCCAGATCTTGTCAAGAGCGTGGCTTGGTATAGTCTTTTTACCCCTCTCTCATTTGTATCTCTCATTACTTTTATATGTTTGCTACAATTGTTATGAAAATGTTCTTCATATCATTCATGTTCCTAGTTATAATGTTCATCGTTTACTTTGATTATATGCTTAGTATAGCTAGATTGTCTTTATGTTCAAGCATAAGTTCGTATAGCGCTAGCTCTGGTGTACACAGGGTGAGTGGTCGACAGTGTGTAAGCATGGTGCTTCTGCGTTGTTTACCTGCGGATGCACCCTATATTCTAGGCCATATGGTAGATCACGGATGTGACACTCCCATTGAGTCCTTTGTAGTCCACTCCCCGAATATAGGACAAGTAGGATCTAGTTACGAAGGAAGATGAGCTCTGTTCTTAATTTTCCTTAGTAATATCCCTTATGTGTAGATATAAAGTTGATCTTAGCCATGACTACTAGGTGTAATTACACTAATCACGTATGCTTTGACCTATAATTAAGGATGACTTAGAAATTATTCCTCTAATATTCTACTTAGCCATGCTAATGCCATAGAAAAGAGTACTCTGAGTGATCAATGATTTGTTATTACTTACCATTCATATACTTTTATCTCTCGACTTACCCCTGTTGTGAGTAGAAGTTTGGTTATGGTTTATCTCTCCATCTTGCATATAAGTTATCAATACATTCCAGCTGCCCATCCTTCCCTGTGGTAAAAATATAAATAACGATACCTAAAATACTCCCAGGTAAAGTGCTACAATGGTATATTATCTGTGCGCTTGCAGATTCCTTTATATATATATATATATATATATATATATATATATATTCTTTCTAATCACATAAAATGCTAAAGTACTTCTTAGTGTCATTCTAGAAGTGGCACTAGGTAGTACCAACAAGCATTTCTGGCATCATCGCTAGGGATGACAACTTAGTAAAAGTGAGGAATGTCAATAACATTAGGTGGCTACTAAAACAAGTGACAAGTTAATAAATACCAACAATCACTATCTCAAGTGACCACATATGAACCACTCTTCTTCTTCTTGAAGGTCATCTTGTCCTTCTTCTCTTTCTTTTTCTTTTTGTCCTTCTTGCTCTTCTTGTCATCATCACCATTGTCGCTATTATATGGGCATTGAATAACAAAATGAAGACTTCTTCCACACTTGAAGCACCTTCTTGATTCTTCCTTGTTCTTAGATGAAGACTTCTTCCTTCTAGCATGATAGCCCTTCTTCACCATGAACTTGTCAAATCTCTTCACATAGAGAGCCATCTTCTCATCATCGTCATCATCCCAACAGAATGAGCCTTCATCTTCACTTGATGTATCTTGCTTGGCCTTGCTCTTGGATGATGTGGCTTTGAATGCCACACTCTTTGATGTGGCTTTGAATGCCACACTCTTCTTCTTGTCATATTTCTTCTTCTTTTCTTCCTTCTCATCATCATCTCTATATGTATCATCGGTCATCACATCACCCAATACTTGGTTTGGTGTCATGGTATCCAAACCACTCCTCACTAAAATTGTGACTAATGTGCCAAATCTTGATGGTAAGCATCTCAAGAACTTGTGGAAGAAGTCCTTGTCCTTCATCTCTTCTCCAAGTGTGTTGAGATCATTGACAAGCACTTGAAGCCTATGGAACATCTCTGGCACACTTTTATCCTCCTTCATCTTGAAACTTGTAAACTTCTCCTTGAGAATGTATGCCTTTGCACCCTTCACGGCTTGAGTGCCCTCAAAGGATTCTTTCAACTTCTCCATGCCTCATGAGCCATCTTAATGTTCTTGATTTGCTTAAATGTTCTCTCATTCAAAGCATCATGAATGGCACTAAGAGCAATATCATTGTTTTAGAGTAGCACTTCTTCGGCGGCGGTGGGAGCTTCGACATTGGCTACCTCAATCTTGGTCTCCACCACCTTCCACATCTTTCTATTGATTGACTTGACGTATGTTGTCATCTTTGCCTTCCAATAAAGATAATTTGAGCCATCAAATTAGGGTGGCTTCTTGGTGTTGTTGATTTGAGCTATTTTGACACCGAAGGTTGTTAAGCCTCAAATCACGGTGACCACGGCTCCGATACCACTTGAAAAGCCCTAATGGCTAGAGAGGGGGTGAATAGCCTATAAAAATTCTACAACAACACTTAAACAAGGTGGTTAGATAAATATGAAGCAAAGCAATTTTTGCATTAGCCTACTAAAAGTGTAAGCCACCTACCACAATTCTAGTCACTATAGTCTCTAACACACACAAGAGACTATGTCACTATCACTAAGTTAGTGAGCTCTCAAAGACTAACTAAAGAGCCTCACTAACCACTACACAAGCGAGAAAGCTAGCTCTCAAGACTAACTAAACTAAAGAGCTTAGCTACACAAGGAAATGTAAATACAAGTGAGGGTAGTGAAGATTTACCAACATGGCAAGTGATGATCAATCAATCAATCCCAAAAGAGCCAATAAAATCCTCGGGATAAGATGACACAATGATTTATCCCCGAGGTTCACTTGCTTGTCGGCAAGCTACGTCCTCATTGTAACGATTCACCCACTTGGAGGTTCAAGCGCTAATAGGCATCACATGCCTAACCCGCAATTGGGTGCCGTACAACCAACACAAGATGGGGATCCACAAGCTACGAGCAATCCACTATAGTACCTTTTGGCTCTCCACCAGGTAAAGGACAAAAACCCTCACAATCACCACGATCGGAGCCGAAAACAATCGCCTTCCTCCGCTCGATGATCCTCGCTGCACCAAGTTGTCTAGGTGGCGGCAACCACCAAGAGAAACAAGTGAAATCCTCAGTGAAACACAATCACCAAGTGCCTCTAGATGCAATCACTCAAGCAATGCACTTGGATTCACTCCCAATCTCACAAAGATGATGAATCGATGATGGAGATGAGTGGGAGGGCTTTGGCTAAGCTCACAAGGTTGCTATGTCAATGCAAATGGCCAAAAGGGTGAGCTAGAGCCGGTCATGGGGCTTAAATAGGAGCCACCACAAAATAGAGCCGTTGGGCTCAAGGAGCAGCTGGCTATGCGCTGTCCGAACGCGATGGTTGGGGCGACCGAACGCACCCAGGCCAGCGTCTGATCAACGGATGCACGCCACGTGTCCCTCCTTTGAACGAGCACCACTGGATCTCAACGGCTAGATACTCTCACGCTCACATTAGGTCACGACTGGATGCGCCAAAGGGCGACCGAACGCACCGCCACTGCGTCAGATCAAGCGCGCACATGAGCCACCGAACCAATGAACGGACATGCTATTAGTATGACCGAACACGCCACAACGTGGAGTCCAGTCACTTCTAGTAAGGGTCCAGAGATGCATTTCTGT